CTCTCTACCATCCTACGTCGTCTGTGCTCCAAGCATTGAGTCTTTCAAACTGAAGCTCGATGAAACATTAACACACCTTACATTCCAACATAAGTGAAGCTGCGTGCAGCAGTGGAAAAAGCACGTATCACGTGACATTTTACACAAAGAATTGTATGTATCACTGTTTCTTACTCCACCTCTCGAACTTATGGGACCAGAAAAGCATGAGCTTATTCCCATAATAAATCTTTGAATCTTTGGAACGTCGGCAACAAGGCTATTTTCACTGTTTTATAATAAGCGTTTAAATGCGATGGAAATGTTTGTGATAACCAACAAAGAGCACTGGAAAGCTGTTTCGTCCTGTTTGGTTATCACAAACATTTCCATCGTATTCGAAGTGCATGCAAACAGTGGGTAATTAACGATCTCCCACTGAGTGAAACTCACACCGAACATCGTCAACAGTGCCTGTGAAAAACCGAACGGGCTAATCCAAACATTCGCCATCTAAATTTTATAATAAGCAATACGACTGGTCAAAAGTTCCCACAGAATTATCTAAATGATTCTCCTAGATTGATTTATCTCGAATGTACACTCTAACGTGTCAATAAAGTTTGCATTGCCTAGTTCACAATTGGGAGTAAGAGTACAAAGATGACCTGACAAAGGATTACTGGAGACGCATACCTGACGAGCGACAAGGACCGTGAGACCGGTTTTGTGCTTCTGTGAAATTTTGTCCACTCACTCATATTCTACGTTTATAAACCATTGTGTCCTGCTTCTATCCATCGTCAGTCATGCACGCGTTAGCTACCAAAGTTCGTTGTCTTTCTGGTTATTTGTTTAGCAGCTACTTTCGTCTAGTTAGTGCAAGCGGTCTAGTGACTATATGTCGCATTTGACTGACTATCACTGAAGATAACATCTGAACAAACATAAATTTGGAATTTGGTTCAGCTGTGGCATGAGCTGGTTGTCACAGTGGTAGCACACACCTTCCATGCGATGGTTCCGGAGTTCAAATCCCGGGCCGGACGGGGATATACACCATTGATGAGCTCTAATAAGAGCGAAACTCGAGTCTAGTGCTTCCGAGTATACGGTTGAATTGACGAACTGAAAATTGTGCGTTAAGGCGAAGTCTGAAGGATAGTCAGTCTAATCAATCAAAATACCGATTCCTTCGCATCGCTATCTCGATAAATGTTTAACCGGCTATACAGGCTGCGATGTTGGAGCACCTAAAATCTGCGCTTATCATCTCCCGGTAATATCCATGATTATTGCAGTCAAACTAAACTACTTGATGAGACTGCATGATTTTTCCTGAACCTGTATCTCAGCGTGCCCCCTCACTGCCCCAAACCCCTTCGTTCACTGAGTTAGGGTCGCCACATCCCGCTCCAATCAAAACCTTTTGAATCAGGATTTGTTTTGTCAAATGTTCCGATCGTAAAGCCCTAGAGGATGATTTGTTTAGACTGTGGCAACCCGCAGGTATAACACGCACTAGCCATTCTTGGTTTGGATGATAAAGGCTAACCCATGGTTTATGGTAGTCAATCAGTTTCCCACTCCTGATCGTGCATACGTGCTTCGTTTCCTTGATTCAAGTCTTAATCCGATCAATTTTCGTTTCTGTCGAACTCTTTTGACCTCATTCTGATTATCTTAGCAACGCATTGGTTTAAATTTTACTTGAATATGATCATATTTTTAATTCTGTATTTCATCATTTTCGACCCACCCTACTGTCAACGGGGAATCGGGTACATGAGACATCAGCTGCTTTTCTCGGGGCGCGCACTTCTGGTCTTTGAGCAGCTAAGTTTGAACTGTGAGGTAACATTTTGCCAGTGCATGCTTGTCAGTGGATCCTGGTACCTTAATTGCCATTCGACTAACTGACCACTTTTCCCTTATAGCCCTTTATAATGAGACAATAGGTCTCGTCCACTCGCTCCGGACCAGCACTCTACGTGTGCCGGAAGACACTCGACCGAGGAATTTCGGTTCCAGTTGCCATCAACTTAACTTAAGTCCCTAAATCCACAGGTTTTCTATTCAAGTTCCTCTGACTTCTGAGGCCATACACTATCTTAGCTTTGCTGTCTTTCTGAGTAGTTTGCCGAATACGCGATAGGCAGACAATCTGAGCTCTTTTGAATTCATCCACTGACTGAGGCAGCGTCCGTGATAATCCACTAAACCGAGCGTATGATGTGTATCTCTTCACTCTCTGGATTCACGATCCACCCCTTTTTTGTGTGATGTTACCACATACCGCGTCGCGACTGTTTCAGACACTCAGACCGGGGATGCCCGGGCGACACGATCCTGTCAGGCCGGTTCAACAAGTGAGTCTACGACCGCTGGCGGCAATGGGACTCCAGGCAATAGTGATGCACGTACTCCTCCCATGGCTCCGTTAGATCTTCCACCGGAAACAATGCAAGCGGATCTGTTAACTGTGGCCACGGTAGCTGCTTCCGGGGATGCCAATCCGGAAGATGTGATCGAGATTTGGTGTGGAGATCAGGTACGTTTTTTTTCTGGAGGGGCTGGGGGGGCTATTTTCATTCACATTAATTCGGATAAACAATTTTCTACTTCTAGCTGACTCGTGTGCCAACTCAATACACTTGTTTACTACTATCGCTTTATCACTAGTTGAGAAGACATCAGTGGTAGTTCGGATGCGATTCATTCATTCCCACGGTTGAAATAAAATGCGAGTAAGCTTTTGTGTCATGTGTATCGAACTGTTGTGCGTAATCCAAACCGTCGACTCACAGTCTTTCTGCATTTCGTTCGACGTCGGATACATTTTCATTCAGGGTGTTTAATTGTCCAGATCAGTAATACTCCTGCTGACACGTTTATCACTTCAAAACCCAAAGCTGGTTCTCCTCGTTGTTTCATCGTTTCGTTTCAATGCGGATGATGAAATGTCCGAAACGTCGTAGCAGACTGTAATGATGTACACCATTCGGACGAACGAGTTTTGTTTTAATCGTTGCAATGAACATCCGGTCGATTTTTGTTCTCACTCGTGCTTGATCGGGAAGCACACCTTATTTCTGTTTTGGATACTTTTGTCCCCCTACCGGACCTGATACTGTCTACTGACCAATAGTCAGCCTAAATTGATGTACACAAAAAAATAGAGTCGCATATCGAGCAGTATGCCACGCTGATGGTTCAACGACAAAGGTCACCAAATTATACCTCTGGAGAACATATATATATATATATATATATATATATATGTGTGTGTGTGTGTTCAAATCCCACAACCTCCCGAATGACCCCATTCTCAATGTGTTGTGTGTGTTCTGAATGACCGCACGCTCTCCTTCCTGAAAATAGCATCTTGTGTATTCAATAAAACGAAGTGAACTGGTAAGAATAAAAAGATATATGTCGAAACATGGAAGTGGCATGCTCTTCCCTGTGCAGTGTTGCATCCACATCAGAACCTTGAGCAGGTAATTATAGCCCCTCACGATTGTACGGTTGAGTGTCATTCAAGAAGCCGCAGCAATCATTGTTTTAGTAGCATTCACTAACCGCTAGCACAGATGCATTTCGGTTTGTAGTAATCGGCATGCAATTGTGTAGTTTTTCGTGGAAAAAGTTCTGCAATCTTGAACCAGTTGTTAGCTCTTCTGAATACCTTTCAAAGAAATGCAAGCGACAATTTCAGTTATCCGAATAGCACATACAAAATTGAAACGGATTTCTGTTGATAAATTTATATGTCCAACTCGTTGCTCTTCGATCGCTTTTGATTAGCCCCATTAGGAACAAATTTTCTTCACTAACGTTTCAACCGCTTAATTTCTAAACGCCTGATCAGTGTTTCCTCATTAGTTGACTTCATTGGGGTCCTCGGAGAGCATCGAGTTTTAGTTGCCGAAAGATGATTTCTTTTTTTGTCGCTGTAGCTAACAGCTTTAGTTCAATTCAGGCAGTAACGTTCCACAGTGTATCTCACACACGTCTAAATCCTGACTACGTGTCAAACAGATCAGAATGCAATAATCTTTATAAAAAAAAGAAAATTTTACATGATTTGTATGTGTGCGGAATACTACCAGGTTGCCGAAGCCGGGGTAGATGAATTTTCCCCGGGGGAAATCACAACCGAAGCTTTTGATTAGCCAAAATATGACTTGCAAGGCGAGGGATCGGGGTGGTATGTGAAAACCGTAATCGATTGATGACCGGTCTCCATTTGATCGGATCATTCATCCTTTGGACGGGTCAAACCCCCAAAGTGCCTAATACACCTCAAAGTTCTACAAGGGAGTGGTGCAGAATTGAATTCCATTTACCGATAATTTTTGGCATGTCCGGGGCGAGGGAACCGAGCAGTGATACGCTGCAGGAAGCATTGTGCAGATGATTATCTCAACCTTGTTGACAGCCTCGGTACGAATTGATCAAACTGGCTGAGAATTGCGATCTCTGGACTTCACAGACATACTACGTACATAAACATCCCCAATCGTCGGATCAGATTGTTTCACATTTTCCGCACGTGCTATGACATAACCGATCTTTGCAACCCTATTGTGTGCAACTAACCTTGCCTGTCCGAACATTTAGCCCCCGGGGACGTATTCCAAGCCTAATTTTATGTGTGTTACAGTAATTTTCTGGGATGCATCTAGTCTCGGGCGACACTCAACGCTATACTGCACATGATTGTCTATTCTAATATTTATTTTGATTTCGTCGTGGTCATTCAACATTAATCGATAACAGTGATTAAGAAAAACCCTTGGAATTTCTTGGTCCTAGTTTATTCCGATCTGGAGACGTACCAGAGAAGTGCCTTGTTCATACTTTTGCCAGATGTCCTCTCAAACGTAGCTTCCATAATCTGCACATTTTTCTTATGAGATAGACCGAAATATTTTCTATCCATTCAATTTCATGTTTATGCTGTTTTCATTCCATTATTTTCCCGTCTCTATACCTTTCCAGTGTTTGGATCCCAGCATGAATTTACGCAGTGCCAGATACTTCTATTGGAAGCAGTCTGGTTGTTTAATGCTCTCTTACGTAATCAAACATTCGAATAGTCCAAGTTGAACCACGACCCCGGTGCCCTCACAGCATACGTGGCTAGTTGTTCACGGGGACATCGTTCTGTCCTTTTCTGTCACACCTCAGCATCGTCTACCGGCCTGTACGTCGTACGTATGACCGAATGGGATAATCCGTGCATCGCTGCTCGCCAGCTTGTTTTGTACACTCGTCTACATCGGTACCGCTCAAGCAATTGCACACTAACACTCGCCCTGTCCAATATCTAGAATTCCACTGTGATTTTGTACACAATTTATTTCTCCCCCTGTCAGCATACATTCGTGACTTGTTCTGGTTCTCTTGCTTGCGTTTTCGTCCACTTCTTCTCCGCTTCTGTCCGTCCCTCTCTCATACCCAAGTGCAACATTTCAAAATCCAGTTGTGTAGTTTTCCTTCAATCGTGCCAGATCGTCGAACTTCGCAGTTTGTTCCATTAATTCAATTAGGATGTGGACAGCTAAAGGAATGTAACAGAACGGAACGAGCGCAGTGATTCACGTGCAAAGGACATTCGACTCACCTCGAATAGTTTCATCACTGATGAGTAATAGGCCACAGTGAAATCGGGGTACTTGGCTGAGGCAGATCATGACGTTATAGGTGAAATCAAGCGCTATTCGGGATGGAGAATCTGTGACAACACGTAACGCGGTGTTTTGGTGTATACCGGTAAACAGACTTACCTGTATCACATAACCATTCCATTGCTTGAATAATCTCGTCCAACATAAATGCATCCAGCTTGATTCCAATCACTAAAAATGGACATGAAATGTTTTCTTTAATTCTCGCAATATTTAGTTTTCGTCAGCCTCTTGTTGAGGTGACAAAGACCTCGAAGAATTTGCGATACCCTTCCTTTCTCGTGTATCTCACGTGAGAGTGACTCTCGGTACAGAGTGAATCAGGCGGAATCTGAAGTCTTTTATTAATACATAGTGCTCTCGTTCAGCTGGTCAGTTCACTTTTCAGTCCAGCGTTATAACTCGTTCTAGCTCATAGCATTTGATCATTCTTCCAGATTGTGTCGATAGCTGGTCCATATGGAGTCTTATTTTGTACCCGAATCCCGTCGGTTCGCATGACTTTCACGTGGCTAACCTCCTCGGGAAGGTGACTCACTTTCATAGATCAAATCCCTAGAAAGCTTAAAGATTAGGTCTAGATTACCATCGTCAATACCACTTATCCTTTCTTGTCACGTATGTAACTCTCTGTTAATCGTGCAAAATCAAGTGCTACTGGCGACTGGGTGTTGACCATGACTATCTAGTGACAGGGATGTTCTATTGCGATAGCTCGGCGCGTCCTTGGACACCATCACTGATCGATTGTGACCCTTTTAACCATCTCAACGGCCTTAACCATACGTGAAACCTGGAGACTCATTCCGTAGCGTACAACTCCACTCATCATAATATAAGACTGTTTACGAGTGGCATTTCTAACCTTGGTGATATATCTTAAAGTGTTTCTGTGGTTGCTTGGCCACCGTAACCTTTCGCAAAAGTGCTTGGTTTAACCCGGGGAGGGGGAGAGATCAGATTTCCACCACCCACCTAAACAGCCAATGCATGTAAACTAACATCAAGCTCAAGTGTTCCAGATTTCACATCCCAAGCATCCATGATGCTCATAGCCCTTTAAGCTAAAAACGAAATCAGATGCGTGGGCAACACCAACGAAGCGTTTGTTTCGCTTCCCTGGTGCTCCGGGTTCATCTAACACCGAACTACGACCATGAGACGTAATCAGTGCCCGTTAAATATGCTAAGAACCTAGAACTGTTTAATCACGACACATGCGAAGGATGATTCAAGTTTAATAGTAAAATGAGTTGTCTCACAAATTCAAGACAACCTCCTGCTACTGCGAAAGAAAGCCATTTCAATAGTTTGGTTGTACAACAATTCATTCAATACTTCAGCCTTCTCGCGTTGTCTTCAGTCGCTCCTCCTGTGCACACCAGTGGAACCATGACTTGAATAATGTCCGCCAGTATCTGTTACCCTTGCTCGCTGTGAATTCGATTGTTCCTACACAGAAGCTAGCCCTACCAAAGTAAGATAAACTTTGATCGTTTCTCTGAAACTCCAAATAAGACATTTGACCGTGCACATGTTTTGGAAATTCTCTCAATCGTTCGCGTAACCCGAAAATATTTTATTTCCTATTAGGAGGGTGAGTTTGAAGTACTAAATGCTCATGCAAAATCTTGTGCACGTGGCGCTCTCCTTTATTCGTTTAGAGTGAGGTTCTTCGCAAAATCTCAGTTACGAGTTCCGCATCCGATGCGATGCGGTACGTAAATACACGCGTTTGAAATGATGTGGAATGATTGTAGCTCGGGATGCTGATGTTGGCGTTGTTGTGTTCTCCGAGCTGGAAGTGTTGTTCGTAGACAACCTAGGCTACATCATTAGTGCGACTTCGGGAAAGCGCCAGTCCTCACTGGGATCTAGCTTATAAAGAAGCGGAATCTATTTATAACTATCTAAGAAAACACTGACGACCCGAAACTGTTCCAGCTAGAACCGGTCCCAAACCAGTTTTGAGCCGGTTTGCGGTTGCTCTAGGAACGCCAGTCGACCAATGAGAAAAAGAATAGACACCATGACAGAAAAAGCCAGTCAAATCACCGCAAACATTTGCTATTGACCAGTAAGATTAAAGGGACGCAAACAGCCTTCAAACAAAACTATATAAGCCAGATCCCAATGAGGACTGGCGCTTCCCCGAAGTATATATATTTACCACCGGCTTGGAGACAAGCATGATGCCAACGCGACAACGATAACAATAACAATGAAACGCGATAGGTAGATCTGGGTACAGAACATAGTCGAACTCAAGATGTTGCCTAGCTTGGCCCCGAAAAGTCCCAGCTCGGAGAGCTCACCAACACCAACAATCTACTATAGTGTTTGTAAACCCACAAGAACATGACGGTCGCCCATTATCCTCGTATCGTCTTACCTTCTGGAAGAGCCTCAGGCCGTGTATCAAAAAGAAGCTGCACAATAGCTTTATGTTTTTCTGTCCGTACCAATCGAATGATACTTGTCCACCGGGTTTGAAAGACACATGGTGTGATGATTGGAATTTGGGTACTGCATTGTTCTACAATGGAAAATAAATTGGGTGGTTATGCCCGAAAAAAGTGAACACCGCTTACGGAGGTAGTCTAGGGCTTCGGTTCGCATCGCTTCGTTGTTTAGCACAATCACTGCTTCATTTTCCGTATTCTTTTCTGGTTCTGAACTCCCACGCGTCACCGTTTTCTCTTCCACAATATCCCAATCTGGATCTGGCGAAACAGACACTGGTTGTTGATCAATTGCCGAGGCGATGTGGTGGTCTGAACTGGACCCGGATAGATTAATCAATTCGAACTCTGTCCCTGTCGGATTTGTGTTTGAAATATCGGTGGATTTCTTCGCCTGTGTTATTGTCCAACGGGGAATAGGTTTGGGGCAATATTGTGAGGATAAAATGTTGAAGATGAGCCTGGAAAATTCGGTCAAACTGTATTGACTTAGTGATCAGAGTGTGATACTTTGATGCATCTACTATTCGACGGTAGTCCGGATTAACTCCACATATATTCACACTTGACACGAACTCTTGCACTGTGGGCATATCTGAAAGTCAGTTGTGCGTGATCTACTATCGCAGGTTGTTGAAATAATCCCACAGAGCACATTTCAAACAAAACATCACAGATTATTAGGATTCATATATCGTTTTGTTCTGTACTGCAAACTACTGTATAGTGCACAGCCGCGGCACAGGTGCACCCGGAGAATCTAATGCTCGCTTTTGCTAACCGGAATCGGGAAGGCTAAATCATATATAGACCTAATGGGACAGTAGTAATATCGATCAAGATAATAGAGTTCTATCTTTGGTCGCAAATATATATATATATATATGTGTGTCTTATAGAGCGGCTACAGTTCGGTCAGGAACAATCAGCGGTGCCTAACTGCCGAATCAGCTGAGATGCAAATTCTTGTCTGAAATTTTGTTCATATCCTCGGCTACTCATTTCACAGTGGAAGCTGAAAGCCACTCGTGTGTGTTTACTGCATCAACAGCACATGACTGTTACCGTTTTCAGCGCACGGTCATTTTCACACATTTGATACTCCCCCTCCCCCGTATCTCTCAACACTCATTTAAATCACCCTGGATTTAGAATTGGCACTATGAATGGAACCTATGCAAACTGAAAAGTGCTCGCGGATGAACGAACTTGGTGTGCACATCACATACAAAACTGTGTACGTACGTTTTCGGATTGTGTGGTGTGAAGTAATTTTCGAGAACACTCCAACTCATTCTGGATATTTGCACTGTTTGGCAACAGTTTATGCGCTTCCTCCAAATCGATCACACTGCCCTTGTAGTCTCCAATGCCCTGTGGATGGTAAAGAAGAGGAAGGACAAAGTGAACAGATAAAATCAGTGTGTTTCATACGTGAAACTTGCATTCCTATTTAACTGACCCGTGTAATCTCGACAATCACAGCACTGAATCCGCTTCATGCAGGGCATATTTAGCCTTGTTCATTCAGCATAGGTTACCAAAGTTGGCCATTCACGAGGTGCCCTAAGAGCAATACTGATATATCCATCATGTCAATTACTCACTTTATATTCACGAATCTCTACACTTTATGAACGGGGAAAGGAGGAACTTTTACATGCACACAAATTCGGGAAAGTAGTTATAACCCCTGTAAGGCTATCCACACCCTAACACAGTGTAATGATACTTGGTACAAGGGAATAGCAAATCTTTTTTTGAGTGAATGTTGTCGTAAACAGATCACAAAAAAGTTGAACTTAGAATCAAAGATGCACCAAAGCGTTCTTCTAACTCCGTTGTGTACCATTAGAAGTGTGAATCCATTGAAAAAACTGGTCACCGAAACAAGGACCTCGCTGGTAGAATGTACGCATACTATCTACTTGAACACCAGCAGATGAAGATACTGATTGGCTTCATCTGTGTCAGATATTGCGACATAAAATATTTGGATTATATTTATTTGGATCTGGTGACGATGGTACATTTGTGATTATGTTTCTGTCTGCCTAGCGGTTTTCGTGCATAAAGCCGTTATTGCAACGAACATTCCAATATGCATTGTGCAAATTCTCCTTAAAAAAATTTGAATGTTTCAGCATTTGCAATTTGACTACTATAAAAAATTAAGTTGTCTAATTATAGATGACAATATCCATCGACTGCACTACACCGAATACTGATTATTTAATCAGTAACTTCTTACTAGTGTTCTGTTTTTGTGTGTTTATAACTGTGCATTTTTGTTTTGGTTTGACCGTATGACAATTTTACACGTCATTCTGTACCGCCACGTTTGAAATTTTCCGTACCCTGGCATCAAGTAACCTAGTCGTAAATCTGCTTGAATTTATCGTGTATTGATTGATTATCTTTTACTGTAGAACCACAGTTTACATAGAAATAAACTGCCTCAGCCCTCACTGTGTTTTCTGTTTCCACCTAAGCCTTACATGAGGCTAGACTTGACAATTTCCAGTATATCGCTGCCGCTGCCCATTCCTTTCTACAAAACTATGCAATAGCTCTTCAACAGGGACGATAGAGTTTTTTTTTCATGTGTCACAATATCAGATCCAAATTTGGAACGGATGTTATTGAAGTAATTGTGCGTCATGCTCATAGTATTAGATCCGTGAAGGAAAACGTTTGGATTAGCCAGGACGATAAAAAACCAAAAACAAGTTCATTTTTTGGTGACGACGTTTCGACCCTCTTGGAAGGCTTCTATCAAGTCGTCACCAAAAAATGAACTTGTTTTTGGTTTTTCTATCGTCCTGGCTAATCCAAACGTTTTCCTTCACGGATCTAATAATCTTTTCATGTGATCTAGGAGAAACAACACGCAGCTTGGCCATTGTAGTCATGCTGCTGGATGGAACTGTTCTCCGATGAGAAATTCCGAGTTCCAAGCACCTTACTCACTTATTCACAGACTAGTCATCCTGGTGCCTGTTACGACACTGATAGCAGATCTGGGCGGATTTTGAAGGAAAGTGAATTGTTGCTAGAAAACATTATTTTCTAACAGTGTTCCTTCACCTCAACCTCCGAGGGAAAATCTAAAACATGATTCTAATATTGTTCATTTAACATCGTGTGATGAATTTGAATGGTTTGCATCGATCATCATCAAAAACCTCAAACCGTATGGTTCCGTTTATGGGATTGTAGTGCGCATTGAATAAACAATGATTCACAGTTACTTGTGAGTAGCGGTGGGGGATAACTGTTATTGATTGATTAAACCCGATCGTCCTTCAGACTTCGCATTCACGCCCATTACTCGGTTCTTTAATTCAACCGTANACTGGAGTTTCGCTCTGAATACAGCTCATCATTAGTGCAATTTCGCCGTCCGGTCCGCGATTTGAACTCCGGACCCATCGCATGAAAGGCGTGTGTGTTGTCACTGTGTATGAGCTGGTTGGTACAGTGGTGATACAAATGCCTTCCATGCGATAGGTCCGGAGTTCAAATCCTGCACTGTGGGGCAGTGGATATGCACTACTGATGAGTTGTAAACAAAACGAAACTCGAGTCTACTGCTGCCAAGTATGCATGGTTGACCGGAAGATTTGAGTATTGCGCTTGAATTCTGAAGGATGATCAGTCACAATCAGTGAAAAAACAATGGATTGACGAGATCAGTTCTTCTATGGCTACTCAAACATTCTTTCTCATCCACAATTCACCAGTGATGTTGCTGTATGTCAAAGATCCTGTCCGGGAACCGATATCAGCGCATTCAACATAGCCATACTGCTACAGTTTTCCTATTAATTTGAATTTCGCGCACATTTATGAAGGAACAGGACAATGGTGTATTGCCGTAGCAAACGGTCCCTGTCATCCCTACCGGAGAATGTTGTGTCTCAAGCTGATTCGTTGGGTTGTCAAATTATGGCCACTTCAAAAGGGAAATAAGGATATAACAATCTGTAAACCAGCCATTTCGCCTTATTTATACTCAACACAGGTAGGTTATGGCAATAGAAACTCGCTACTCTGATTGTTTTCAGTCTGATTTCCTGGTCAATCAAGTTACCCAAATGAAGCATTGACTTAACGCAGAGCGTTGATTCCAAACAGACCTTTTCAACGTGAGGTTATTTTAATCCATTTCACGTTAATAATTCTTACCCAAATAAGAGCATGGTCTATCACACAATCCCACTTTTTCATCTTAATGCGTTTACTGAACAGAATCATCCTCGTTAGATTGGCACGTTTCGGCACTATACTCGGAACAGATCGAATTGCGTTGACGCGGCTTGGTTAATTGAAACAAGCGGAGTTTCTTCAATCTTTTTTCGTTTTACTTCCTTTTTATTGAATATACAAAGATACAATTTTCAGGAAGGGGGGAGCGACCAATCAAAGGACTGCCATTTAATACACAATGGGGAGAGCCAGGTGGGGGTGGTGGTGGGATTCGAACACACATCTCCGGGGTGATAATTTGGTGACTTTACCACCGGGCCACCACCACTTACTGTTCGTGTTTTCTCGAGAAACTACTTAGCTTTCGGCCACGAGTTTATTCGGTGAATAATGCGTTCAAATCATGTACACAACAACCTTACCTGATTGAGCAAGGTCGATCTCAACAGGATCGAATGAACTAAATTTTTGTTTGATGAAATCTTGAATCATTCATCTTTTTGGAATAGGGATTTTCATGAGTATTGATTGTCAAAATGTCAACTCACACGTCTACCCAGAGCACGTCGATAGAGTGCAGTCGGATGACCCGGTTGCAATTTGAGCGCTTCGTTGCAATCGTCCACAACCCGTTGATAATACCCCATATCCAGTGCGACAATCGCACGATTCCGGTAGGACACAGCCAACTGCTCGGATACACCGGTCTGGGTTGCGACGTCGATGCAACGTGTATAACAGCTGTACGCATCTTCCAGATCGCCCTGAGTGGAAAGCGTAAAATATTACAAACACTTCGTCCCAGTGTTTGGGGCTAAGGTATGTTTGAATCACACTGACATTCAGCTTGAACTGATTCGTCAGAAAAGTTATGTTTAAAAATAAATGAGCGATACCTAGAACCGTACAGCGGTTTTAACCCGGTGCATCGTCAGCAGTGAATTTCTAACTGCACAACCACGATCGAACTTCTGACACCGAGATCATGGTAACCGAGGTTTATAAAAACTGAGCGTTGCAACCAGTGGCATTCGTGCATCTACTCATCATTCTTTCAACCTCACTGTGGTGAGTCAACCCTCTCAGATGACGCCAGACAAGCGCGTACACGTTACAGTTCCTGGACAACGAACAACAGGCCGTGCTGACCAATCAAAAGTCTTGCGGTCCAGACAGAAGTTGTATGACGCCAAGAATACAAGTATGCGATTGGCGGATACTTGCATGACCAATAAACTTCCCTTAAGCGTAATTTAATCCCCTTGATTTCTTACAACAAACGGTCTGTTAGTTCGGTCATCTTTTTCCGATGTCTCGGTAACGGGAGATTCAAGTGCGCCAGTTGTAGTGCGATTCAGTGTCTCAACAGCGTCCGTGATTCGTAATTCATAGTATGTGCCTGATTCGACTGCTAAATCCAGTCTATATGAATTCTTTATATTCTCTTTGACTCTGTTGTTAACAATCCAATCTTCATTCTGCCGTTTTTTATCCAAATGGGTCGGCCAAAATACAACAAACAAAACAGACCCAATAAAATGCATTATTAATAGCTATGAAAACTGTAATTGATGGGTGCAGCAACATTGTGACTAACTAAAATAGTCAACATCGCCTGTACATCACGAATAAATCTGTAAGAGCAAGTGTTTTTATTCAAATAAACCACAAATTTCTGGGTTTCAACTTTGCCATATGTAACCTATACTTTTATTTTGCTTAAGCTTGTGCAACGTGATTGCTTCAGCCAAATCTCTGTAAACCATCGGACCTGTCTTGAACTGCCCTGGTGGAAGCAATACCCCAAGCACGTATTCACATCCCTCTCATTGACTGTTCATCAGACTTCCGTCTGTCTGATCGCGCTTTTTGTGTGTGGTCGGACTTGTTCTTTTCTCAATTGCTTTTGTTGCTGTTTGACGAATATAAGTTAGCATGCAGCTAGTTTACAGGACCTTAATTCATGCTATCCGTGTTATCTCGTTGAAATGGGGTTCTTATGGTTTAGTGCACCAAACTTCGTGAAAGAATTTCGTCGTCTAAATTGAATATATCCCAAACACAGTGTGCGTGCATAGACAATCGGATCTCACTAAATGATTGATTGTTAAGTACTGACATCATCATATCTCATTGATTAACGTTAGTCCTAGAGTTTACGAAACTCTTGGGCTCGATATGGAAAACGAAAAAGGTTCCAACCGAATAGTGTGAATTGTTGATCATAAAAATTGACAAGAAAAGTGACATCCTTTTGTAAAGACCACAGAGGAATTAGTTTAATCAAAATTACCTCTAAACTTCCGGCTGGTGTATCATACTCCGGTGATTGTCTGCCGAACCTAAACGGTACACTTGTGAGAACTAGGCTGCTTTTAGACTTGGTTGAGTTTGTATAGGCCATATTGTCACTCTTCTCATAGTTCTCAAGCATCAACATTCGTTTCGTAGACCAACGATCTCTGTGTTTCTCGATTTGAAAGGGGCCTTCGACCCAGTCGACCGCTACAAAATCTGACACTGCCTTTCCCTGAAGGGAGTTCCTGAGAAGTTTATTTCAATATTGCAATCCGTTTATACAGGTAGTGGATGGAAAGAAGCCAAAGGTGGTCAAGCTATGACCTGACAAGAGGGTATGAAAAACTTAACCAGGGGACTGGGCACATAGGTCCCGTTAGGCTCCCTGGCTGGGGGACCTCGAGATGATCGTAATTGATGGTTATAGACACTGAGTGATATGGCTGAATGTCGTAAACAACAATGGTGATTATGCGTTTTCTCAATTATTTGCAACAATAGTCCACTGAAATTCTCGATTTTATATTCTAATTTATTTTCAACTTAATTGTCTTTCTCCTACTGTTTATCCAAATGGGCATCGAAAAGACAGCAACGAAAGTGCATGGTTAATGGTTGTAAAAACTGAACTGAACTACGAATAATGTTTTTTTCTCATGCGATTGAATGTTTCAAACCGAAAACTTACTTTATCCCGACTTGATGTGCCACGCGCTTTTGCCTCATCGTATGTTAACCGGTTTATCTGTAGGAGAATCAACAAGCAATCGGTGTGGAAATTTTTCGGTGATTGAATAAAAATTATATACAAGGCAAAACCTATCAAATATAAAGCTTTTCCTACTTCACTTTTTTGCTCAGAAGAAATTTGGACTTCCAAATGGTGGTGGTGGTGGTTATTAACCAGTGATGCTTCACTTCTGATGAAATCTTCTACCTTATCTATGTGATCCTTGATAATTTAGTTAAGCAACCTCATGCGATCAGTTTATTTCACAGAAATACAAAAGCTAATACGTTAGAGAAAAATGAAACAAAATTTGTGTCCATGTAATGAATCTAGGTAATAATTTTTCCTGATAAAAACGACATATTTCGTTCAATGAAATCTTCTCTTCCGTACCTGTTCTAATGCGGATTCCTCATTTTCTTTCTCATATCTCTGAGGAAATGTTTCTGACCCGGAAACCGATATGGTATCACTTTGAGCTTTCATTGTATCCATTTTGTTCTTATCTTCTTCCTTCCCAGACTCGGTTTGGTCATCCCCGCTAGATTCGGTGTCTGTCACTTCTTCAATAACCATACCCTCTCGTCCAAATTGCCCCGGATTTGATGGTGGATAGACCACACGCCGGCGATTCGAATTTGCAACTTTCAATTTTTTCGTTTTACCAGATTCTTTTGTTGTGGCTTTTACTTTCACGTTTGTCGAATTCTGGATGGGTTTGGATGGAGCCGGTGAAGCTGTATCACTGGTTTGATCATGTTCCGGTTTTATGGGTTCATCCATTGCCTTCTGTACTGTACGGGTCACGGGAATCGGGATTGCGGTACCGGGTTCGGTAGTGTTCTCGGTGTTCGTGTTATCCGGTTCATTTGACTTCTCATCGCCCGACGCACAGGAGTCAGAGGAATCGCCCACATCGGTGATGATCATACGTCGACCACCGGGGAGTTTTCTGTTTTGACGTTTTGATTTCTCAACACGCACTGTACGCAGTAAGTTCTTCCAATTCGCATATGGATGTAGCAAGAGAAAAGGAAATAGTTGTGATGTATCAGAGCATAAAGTGGAAAATTTTCAAATGAAAGTAGATCAAACCTTACCATGCTAAAGTGGTTACTTACAGATGAGAAAAGTCTAATTCCGATCAGAAGCAAGAGTTTCTAATTGACGAATCGGGGAGCATTCTAGAAAATGTGGATTTTGGAGTGATGTCACCAGCCACTGATCGGGAGAAAGCAAGACAGTAATTGTATCGGTGAACGCATAATTGTGAGCACATCACCGAAGGAACACTGAACTTCCGCTTGACCTTGTCTATCATCAGTCTTGTGCAACCTGGCCCAGCTGACCTTATTCAAATGATAAATAAGTTAACCGAATTCATGGCTCACCGAAATCATTTTAAAATATCCGAAAATTTATTCGCAATTTTCTATTCGAGAATGATGTAATCATGTGAACAAATAGTCCCCCCCTCAACCTCTCCCACAACCTCAAAGTTATAGGAGCTTTTAAACCCGTCAATTCTCAGTACCCCTTCAGGATAAATGATATCACAAATCGGTTTGTTATACATATTATAATCTCTGAGTTTGTCCCGCTCGCCAAATCATACTAGTGATGCTTTCCTGAATGTAGTCGTGTAGCAATGCTTCACTTTTTTGGAAAGCCTTTCATATTCCCCTAGTTTGGAACAATCTTATATTATTTTTTTTCAGCCCATGAGGCAACGATTGCTCTCTGCTGGATTGAAATCCGGAATTCAAGTTAATCAATGGAGCGAGAGGTGATAATTTGGCTTAGCCAGAACGATGTATCTTGCTTTATGATCCTGTGACATCTGTCTCCAGAGGTTGGACGGAACAGATAACTCTTCTGAATCGTAGAATAACTCACTTTATTTGTATATACAGTCAAATTTACATATCAGCTCCTTCATACTATCCAAACTGCTCCAAAAATGGTAAAGTAAATTCGATTATACTGTACGCGTTACACCATCCAGTCATACTCCACGTGATTCCTTTACACAAATTCTTTCGTCACGATGTCGCAAGATTAATCTTGCTTGATCACTCCAGATCACTAGCTGCTATATTTCTATTCACGTTAGACAGCTCGACATCTGCGAGTGATCGTTGAATTCATCGAAGCCATTTCTGACATTGATCGCCGGGCAGATCGATCATGTGCGTTGGTACCGGACGGATCAGATTGTTCTAAGCTGCTCACATGAGATTGACTACACTTCATAACAGTGAAAAGAGTTTAAACAAATTCACCGAAGAGGCGCACATCAAGGCTGAAAGGTGACGCAGCAACCTTTCTCGTTCGTATAGGGAACTCTAATTGACGGTATATATATATACCTATATATATATGTATATTTGTCACAATAACGTTGTTTGCAACACCGGGTAACTATTGGATAGACAGCTCTTTGAGAGCCAGTCGAATGAAAAATCAACGCTATGATTTGATGTTTTTGTAAGTGGGTTAGATGCTACTAACCGCAACAAACGTGACCTGATGGAAATTTTGTTCAGTCATTCACATACTACTTATTATGATATATATATATAACACCGGCTTGCGGACAAGCATTGTCACCGAAAATAAAGAAATTGACAAATTTTTCACAATTTTCTACTCTCTATATCCGAAAACGTCCGTACTTTCTTATTTCAAAACAGATTGTGCGAGAAACGAACATAAGAAGTAGTTTGGTACACCGCTTACTTGAGCCTTGGTGAATGTGGGATCCTGATCGGTCAGAAGTTCGAGAACGCGTTCGGCCTCGTCCAGATTGTGCAATTCATAATTTGCTCGACCACTGCGAAATAGGGCTTTGGTACACGCGCGAGGAAGAGAAAAGCTATGAACATATTTGCTCCACTGCTGACTTTGAATTTTCTAATGACATGACAAATAGCGATTCAGTGTTGTGCAAGCTGTGGCTTAAAATATTTCAATATGCAATCAGAAAGTGTGTATCCCGCACTAGATTGACCGGTAGATCATGCTCCCGAACCCCATCACTATCGCCTTGAGTTCCCTGCCAGTCCTGTCTCTGGATCGCCTTTGATTGGGTGCGGCTTACTGGTTAATCTTATTTTAAAACCAGCACGGCTACAAACAACCAGTAACTGATCAAAACTTTTGTCCTCAAGGATATACTCCCACTGGCACGCTCGATACTCTGTCCTTTTTTCAGGCAATTCACGACCGTAAACTATGTAGTACATGATTGGCCAATTCCGTTAGCGCTCAGTATTTGCCCACACACTTGTTCGGCAACTCTGCATATCGGATACGTCCAAGCAAACGCTTTCATCTGTCAAAGAACCCTATCTTCATTGACAAATATGATACACATGCCCGCATGATGCATGATGCAAAGTATTATTCTAGTTGGATTTGGTAGAACTGTCCCTACTCCGTTCACCTGATCTATCTATAAGAATAATGAACCAATCTGCCAACACAACCATTTGAATTAAATAGTTTCGGAGATGTTTCCAGTGAAGAATTAGTTTAGTTTCATGAGTACCTGGCAAACTTCAAGCTTTTTACCTGTCCAGCCCTTTTTAATGATCCATTGAAACATTTTTCTATCATTGTTGACTGCAAAACATTTAGTTCATATCGCAAAATCGTGAAGCGTTTCATATTTTTGCTCCACCACAGCCATCCAACTTTGGTGGTAGGCAGCTTTGCTGCCGTCCAGTTCAATACCACGCCTAACCTATCGGGGTCTTATGTTGTTTACCACTCCAAGTCCCACGGGGCTTAGGTTGCAGGTTTCCACCACTGAACAGCAGGTCCTTGTGACTATGGGTTATCTCCCCGTCTGCTATTCATTACACACGGGTGTGTAATAGAAAAAAAGCTGTCGCCCTTGTAAAGGATTTAAAAATATTTTCAAATTCCCAGGTATCGTGTGTGTGTGTGCGTGTGTGTGTGTGTGTGCGTGTGTGTGTGTGTGTATGTGCGTGTTTGTAGGTGAACAGACAATTGTTTTGCAATCACTTCTTACCTTTTACATTATTAGGCTCTTCCTTGAGGACCCGGGCACAATCTTTTGCGGCCAAACTCCACTCTTTTTGATGCAAGTCTGCAGAGTCGATGAATAGAATTTAACCAAAAGTGATCAGGTGATCAAAAATTCTGAATGGATCTGATACTAAACATTTCATAATAACAAGACACACAGCTGATAATACCCTGTCATCTTTCAAAAAAACCATTGTTACCTAATGAATGGGTTACATTGCCCGATTTGATGCACTTCGATTTCGTCGACTTAATTCATTCACTTACGTCGAAGACAATATTTCGCTTCTATTTTTGGTCATGTTTCTTTTTTTGCATGCACATGTTTCGTTACCATGATTGATCAATCCAATCTGCTATTGTTGGGAGATACTACTCACATTTGCGCGCACAATGAAGTGATTGGTGGATTTTCACGGCATCCGCAAGTGGATTGATTAGATGATTCAATAATCCAACCACAAAAAGAGACCGATAAACTGTCAGGCTGTCTGGACCAACGTAAAGACAATCAGGAAAATACAAACCAATTGTTGCAAATTATTTGTTGCGTTCCGTATTATTCCAAATGAATAAGTCTCTTCGACCCGGCTAAGGACTTATGGAATTATATAACAATACATATGTCAGTTCATTTTACGTTAGTGGCTGAGCGTATCAAATGAATCGTGAACACCTCGCGAGGTTTGCATTCTTTCACCAGTTACGCAATAGCAATCGGTGAAGAATGAAACAGTACAGAAATTGCAGTTTGATAGATAGCCTTTAGAGGCAATCATCTATTGATGCTATCAACTTATTCTGCTTGCATAGATTACATCTACACTAGAGTTGGACCATTAGTAAATGAGTGACACTCGTAATCTAAGTGATTTTCTCCATTCGCAATAACCACCAAAGTGGGTAGGGTGATTGTGAGGGACAGGTAAAACTACCCAACACCTGAATTTGCGTTAGTTGATAATCGTTCTGATCAATGAAGCTGCTGAAATAGGAGAAGCTAGATTCTACAGTTAGTATTTGACCGGTGAGTGGAGAAACAAGGCCGATTGACTGAAATGAACTCGTAAATGTTATCACTTTCTTCATCTACCTAATTTCGGAATTCCCGCTGTCTAACATGGAGGTTAGATTTCTCAGAAATTTCCATTCTACAAGGGGCTAGAATATTCGGTTAGACATTGAACAAAATTTACTTTGTCGAAGATCGGGACATGATTATGTTGTATTTTGTTCTTCGCATCAGTCTGCCTATTTACAGCTCGTGAAATAGAGATTTTCTTGGGAATTTGTTATCCCTATTTGATGAGGTCAGTTGGGGACGAAACAAATGAAAAATGCCAAATTATCATTGTACTTACATGGAGGTCGTACAGTCTACGGCTTCCGTTTGCACTATATCGAGCTACTATCGTCAAACATATTTAAAATGTTCATAAATGACCACCGTGAACTCTGTTCGGAAGAAACTTTGTCAAGTATTTGAATAGGTCTCATCGTCGAAAAAGTAAAAGCACTTACGGATCAAAGCTCGATTGTTGTAAACAGCGATTGTGGGGAAAAGGATGAGACTTCGTTTGTAATACATCAAGGCCTCATTGTAATCCCCTGCTCGAAAAGCCTTTGTGAAAGTTTGGGGCAAGGTTGAAGAACAATGCATTAAACAAATTAGGACACCGAAAACCAGCAATAATTGCACTTTAAGATAGTGGATAGGTTTAATTCAAAACACGCCGCTTGTGTTCATGTGCTCTATAATCTGTTCATCATTAGTAGAGTGAATAATTTCTTACTGTTTTCAAAAGCACTTGAGAATTTCAGTCTTGCAAAATTAAAATTATCAGCAACCGCTCGGAATGCATAAATCCTTCGGATACCATCTTTGTTTTCCCTACGAATCAAGTGGTTACTTATGAGTAGGCTATTTATTAAACTGGTTATAACACCCAAAGTCGCAAACAAGGTTGCGTCCGATGCAGTCATGCCCGGTTGACTTGGTGTCAATAACTGATAATCAATGAACGTTGATTGTAATTTTTCTTTCTACCCCAAATTATCGACTACCTCCATGTACATCATCAGCTGACTAGAATTCAATGCTATTGACACCATTATATCTTCATACCACAAACTCCAAATTCGAGAGGTCAATCAGTATTGTAGCTACAAACAACATTCAATCAAAACAAATCAATTAATTAATTAGAAAATTAGAAAAAAAACTATCTTCTTGTAAACTTATGAACATTTCACAAAAATGTGCACGGAGTAGAACAGATTGAAATGAGAATGTTAAGAGTATCACTGGATAAACGATCAGAATTAATCTTATTTTAATCACTTATAATATACCGGTAAAATGCATTTTTAAAGTGAATGTGAGATAAGTTTAGTTTGTACAGCCATTAACCTTGCACTATCGTGTGCCACTGTTGGTTGTTCTCTTTCGGCTGTCCGTTTGGATGAACAGTAAGAGAAGGAAACTAAAGTTGAAAGTAGAATCGAAGAGAAAACGGAGAAATCAAGTGAACTAACGTTGTAAAAAATTGAGAAGATGCAAGAACGCCTTTGTTCACGACACCCAGCTATACCACTCAGTGTATCTAACCACTGGTTACGATCATTCCGAGGTTACTCTCCAGGGCGCCTAAAGGGACCTATGTGACCGCGCCTCCTGGTTAGGGTTTTTAAAACCTTTTGCCAAGTGTTCCTTTGACCACCCATGACCTTTATTTAACCGCTATCTTCCTCGGCATACATCGCTCGTCGTGGCAATCTATTTGGTGACATGCGCCACAAATCCCCCAACCACCGTAATCTATGAACGTCGACCACGGGCGACCGCGGTTACCCAAAACTCTGTGCCTCACCAGATTCATGTAATTCTGAGAAGACAGCAGTGTTCAAACACCGACAGTCTATCCTTATCCTCTTTTCCCATGGCTAATTTTCCGCAGTGTAGAGCAGAACCGGTTGACGTGCCGCAGCATACAGTCACCCCTTCACGGACAGCCGGATGTCGCGACAGCGCCACAGATGTCTCACGGAGGGAAATGCCAATCGCATTTTCTGTATCCCAACTGACACTTCATCCGTGATGCACCTATCGGTTGAGATATAGCTACCAAAATAAGAAATGTGAGTACACACGATGATGGATTGTATATCTTTTGCCTACGTGGTATTCACGATTCTTGTTTAGTATACTCCATTCATTCATTCATTCATTGACGAGACCATCGAAGCAAATGTTATTTTCTTACTACTCAGGCTGAAGCTTCTACATCTATACATGATCCCAAAATGGTAACAAATGTCTTGATTGAAAAAATAGACAGGCATTACAGGAGGCATGCGGAATACAAGCTGTACCAGTTTGCAGTTGTCTAGACGAATTCAAGAGCAGCATCCGGTTTGGTTGAGGAAAAGACTGGCAAAAAGAGTTATTAGCTCAACTGTGGAGCATCTAATCGATACGGGACATGCGACAGATGTCGAAAGATCATCCACATTACCCCGATGAATCTTCCGAACCTACTGAGGCAAATTATGCTTGGGGCAATCGAGGCGGTCGCCATTCGGATCCAACACCCAGAACTGTGTAAACAAAAGCGGGTTATTCACATGTTCAGTTTGCCATGACCCAAGACTGTGACGTAACCAACCTTTGTTCAGATAAGCGAACAATGACTGAAGGATTGCATTACGTAATCCGTCTCATCAAATTATTAGATCTCTTACACCTTTCCTCCACCTATGCCAATCTATTATGTGAATCATGACTTTCGTTACCAATTTGTGATCATATATTAATGCAGAAGCTTGATAACGCCGAACCAGGACGATACTTCACTTCAATGGTCCGCTCAATCCTGCTTCTACCTTTTGTTCTATCGATTTTCTTATCAGAAAATTAATTTATTCTCTTCGTTTCTCGACAGTTCTTCATTATGATCGTGCCTTTTATCATGAAATAACACATTTTCAGTGCATCGGCTGTCAAAACTAAGCGGAGCAAAACAATGCTTACCTCGTTCCCTTTATCCTTTTCTTTAGTGGCCAATTGACGCCTCGTCTGGTCCGGCATGGTGGCTGCTCGTTTAGCCAAATCACGACAGCTCAGTTTGGACAATCCACGTGTCTCCGGTTCGGAGAGGAGCATTTGTTCACCCTTCTCGTTCACCGATTGCCCGGAACTGTTCATGACCGGATTGGTAGATTCATCGTTCAACTCCTTGTCCCATTCTTTTTCTAGTCTATCGGAAGTGGCCAGTTTAATGGTAACTTTTTGACAGTGTTATCACACAACAAAGATAATCGGCTAATAGACTTAGAATGATTCATTTCGAAGAGGGTAGATCGGAAGCGGTTAGGACTAGGTTAGAATATTAGAAACTCACCGTTTTATCGTCTTAGTTGTACGGAATCACAATCGTGCTAACAGAACACAATATATACAAATAGGGGTTCATGAAGTATGATCAAAGACGTCTAGTCCCCCATATTGAGTTCATCAACACCCAATGGAGACAAATACCGCGAGAAGGTAACATGTCGTTTAATCACCTCAATCACTGATGTAAGCTTAACAGGCACATTGGGTTGGTCAATTATGTTGAACGAATGTGTACAAGCAAAAAAAGTAACAAAATATATAGGCAAAAGGTTTTATCAAAAACCTTTGGACGTTTAAGTTTGTGAAGGAAAACAGGAAAGTAATTTCAATGTCCAAAATTTCGGTGTGTGTTTCTTTAAGGGTCAATGATAAATTGTTCGGATACGTCGTAATAGGTCACATCATCAACAAACCGATTTAGTATTCTAGCCACGGAGGAGGTAGTCAGCATGTCTGCAACCCCTCACCCCTACCTTACTTCCAGCATCGTCCATGCGTTGAAAACCAACGTGTGCCAGTGCTCAAGCTGAAGTTATTAGTTAAACATTAGTATTGCATTGGTATGTTAATGAAACACTAAAAGTGAACTTGTTTGCAACACCTTGACTGTAACTGTTCTGAAATTGATAGGTATTCCAGACTGAGGGAGTACCGTCATTGTATTACAACCTCCATTGGGTTTGCGAAAGCGTCAGTACGGTCGGGGATAGATCGGGGTCTGATCGTCCTTCACTTGCGCCTCGCAAAATACTCCCATATGGCCAAGTGTCTCGAATAGCCTCCATCGAGGAAGCTCTACTCACTGGTGGCGGCGAGGAGTTTTCACTAAAGTAGCAGGACGAAAACCTTGATTCCAAACCAACCAGGAACAGGCGAGGGAACCACGCAAACACACCTTCCCGGCCGTGGTAGTGGTCCCGGGTTCCATAGGGTATCGAGGTCTATTGACACCTTGGACGTTCGACCCCATCCAAAGAGTCTATGGTCTGATGAACCAGGCAGAACGCCCCTCTGTCTTTCAGGTCAAAGGTTAGCTAGTCAAAGGCTTCGATTGTGAGCTCCCTAAAAAATTCGCCTGTTTTAGCCTGAACAGCCTAACAGTATTGTACCCTCGGACAAATCATGAACCATTTTCGTTTCATAAAGATTATTGTACTATGATTTCTTTAGCACAGTCTGAACTCGGGTGTGTGAAAATATGTACTACATCATATATACATCATCCATCTCTCTGAAACTTTCATTCACCTATTTCATTTTAAACCAAAGTATTTTTTCCGAACGCGGTTGTTCACCCAATATTTGACCAAACAAATACCGTGATCTTTTTTTCAAACCACAGGTTAACTGACGACGGACGCCGCTGGCAATACAATCATTCAGTGACATCTATTTTGAAGAGATTACATTCATTCTTTCTCTTTCTGGCTCAACGGAAAGACGGATCGCAAGGTCGCTATATACTTGGTGACTTGGTGAATCACTTTCTGCCAGAAATGCTCCGAATACAACCAGGATGTTTGATTTTATTGCAAATTGTTACTTCACTATGAACCTTGCACTTCTGTGGTCCGGCTTTTGTTTTGTTTACCGTCTTTCGGGCACCCATTCTGTCAGCAGTGAGCAGTAGTGGTAGCAGTCAGGTGCTGAGAATATAGTTCAGACATAGCCACAGAGTGTGCGGCATTCAACCATATTGGTCAGTATCTCTTGCAATCGATTTGGTCGATCAAGGTATTGCTAATGAGACCTATTCTACCAGTTTCTTGATCAAACATTTTCATCCCCTGTCCCAAACTTAGTATAACCACTATTGACCAATTTTGGCACACTTCCTGCCCTGCGTCACATTGCACAGTGAATGGAAACGCTTTCGGTGACAAACATGAGACACATAACACATTCACCAGAAGCTATGAAGCTAACACACTTTCGTTATCCCATAACTCCAACTATCGGATGCTGTTCAACAGCACGCATGAGCATTTCGCCTACTGTTCACCAATTTTCTGAAGCAATTAGTCGTGACACAGTGTTTCGATCAATATTTTGGGCTACTACTGCTCTGACTGAAATCCATTCAACTGATCACGCTTGATTTTGTACACGGATATCTTCGAGGACACTATTTTCTGTCTGAAGAGTTTGCAAAATTGCTCATGCAAGCACGCACAAGAGCACAATAAAGTTACGCAGAGAGAGATATGTAACTGGGATGAATCACTGGACCTTAAATACTCGGCACAGATCCGATGTGATTATTCGAGAAAGATAAGTCTCTGATTTTAATTTCAGTTATAAGATAAGAAGAGTGACAAAACCGATTGCCGAGTTTCACCTTAGCCCAAAAGATGGGGCTAATAAAACGAGGTGATGGAGCGGTTATAGAACACACTCTTGTTGATAAACAAATCAGATATGTCACCAGTACATTTTGAATATTCACCTATCAACATGTATGCTGAAATGCTTCTTATTATTCATTGGTTATTCGAAAACCCATTGTCTGTTTCCGTGCAGGGGAGAATACTGAGTTATTTCATCATCTACTTTTAAAGGAGAGAAAACTATTGACAGAATAACTCATCAGTTCTTAAATATCATAGAAAGAGCAACAACGCTGCGAATGAAGCTCTCTAACGAACCTTCAGTTAGTATCATTTACTTGCATGTAACCAGTGCACTAGATCACTGCCTGTAGGTGTTTCCATTTGATTCAATGTCTCTCGGTTCTGTGGCATGTCTGCATCACAGAATGATTTCCAGGAGCCTTGGAGATGGAAGTTGAACATCAAATGCAGGGACACGTTACTACACCTTTTCCCATCAAGCTTTCAACAAAACCCGCAATGCTTTAGCCACGACGTGCAAACTTTAGTCACGTCAAAGTGGGCGAGTCAAATCAGAGGTATCAGAATATTGTGTGGTCGATAAATGCTACAAAAGTTATTTTCTACAAATCCTAATGTTTCAAAGGTTAGTTAAAAAATATTAATAAGGTGTGGTGGTCACACGTTGCACCATATTTTGACTTCGGGAGGTTTAACCGATGTTCCCGCATCGTCAAACCATTTAGCACATCTCGGCTAATTTGACCTAACTAAAGTTTGTGCATGGAGGCTAACGCACTGCGGGGAATTCACTTGTTGCGCAACATATAACCTTAAGCCGTTCCCAGACAACGACTCAAACCCCAAATAGGCTGCTAATTTATTGACAATTACATCAGATGGAAGATTGTTTTGTTTTGTTTTTGGGGGAACAATATACATTCACAACTTTTCGTGTACAGTTCACCATTTAACAGTCATTACCTTGTCCCCTTTAAAAACATTTCATGCGACGAAGCAGAACAGAAGTTAATGAATACTAAGCTCATGTGCCCAATTTCAACTGCACTTACTTTTCCCATTCACTGTAGTCTCTGGGTTTCAGAACTCGTTTGCCTGCGAAACCGTCACCAGTACATGCGTTCTGAAAGCATAAAAGCACACAAAATCCGAATTCCGAAGAGATCATCCGTTTTGTCAGAAGTGACATGATTTGGGATGATTCAAATAGTTAAAATTTAAATGTGAATAGTTCGCAAACCATTGAGCGACAAGGAACAGCTTTTTTAGGAATGATCTTTGTAGTGTAGTGGGAAGATTCTCACTAACTGTCACACACTCAGAATGAAAAATAAAATACCCTAATATTTGGTCAATAGAACAATCAAATACACCCAAGCAAAACATAGTTAGCCATTCTAGCCAGGTCTTATTTGGTTCGCCACTCCAGGTCCGGAGTTTTAGGTAGCCGGTTTCCATCACTGAACAGCAGGTTTTTGCGACTATGGAGTCCACCGCGTCTGTTGTTCGTTGTAATACAATATGGAGACAGATAGCTATTCTAACGGGAGTAGCCCCCGAGAGACCTGACAAGAGAAGACAGTCATTCCTATAAATCAAAATTCGCTATACGCAAATGGACTAGAGGATTAAGAATATATCCCATTACATCATCATTATAAGATATCTGGTTCAAAGGAAATCGCGTTATACCACTTCCAGTGACTTGATCGTAGTTTGTGTATACATTCTTATCGCCCACTCATCTACGATTTCTTTGTAAGAGCTGGACAATCCTGAAAGAAATGATGTGATGGTCAAATCGTGGCTGGACCTAGAGGTATGAAGAAATCGGTGTCAGCAGTACATTCGGTTGGTACATCCCGTGTTCTTTATTAGAGCCCAACGGATAAGGCTTGTCCTAGGTTCGAGATCCCGAGACCAATGGCTTGGAATAGCAATCAGCAACTCAAATCCAAAGTAGTCTATCTGTTGAAATTCCGTGACCCCATGAAAAATGAACAATTTTAATCATCTAACGTTTTTAAATAGAAGTTTGTTTTTACCGCCCCTTCACACACACACAGTGAATGAATTGCATGAATAGGTCAAGCTTACCGGTAGTTACGTTTCATATCTCACTGCTCCAAACACATTATTTCACGGAAGTGAAGTTGTTTAAGGTTTTTGGTAAATATGAAGCAACTTTTATCATGTGAAACAGTTATTGAAAGCGTAATGTATTTTGTGTCAAATTTTGTTCATGCGTAAGTTTAAAAAACTATCTTTGATGACGTTGCATATTACTTCCACTTTGAAAAAAATGTCTTTTTACTTCCTTCTTTATTTTACTGAATATACAAATGTACACAGTCAACATTCAGGAAGAGGGGGGGGGCGAGGCCATACAAAGGCTGCCTGAGAAGACGAGCAGCGGCGGTGGAACGGTTAGAAGCTGAAACTCCCAGATCACAAGTTGGTGACCTAACCACTTGGCTACCACCCAAAGCAGTTTCTACATCCTTGGCCACCTACTCTCTATGAACTGTTTGTTTCCTTTTCCAACAGAAGTGATATTATTATTATTATTATTATTATTATCAATATCCTATTCTTAAATTTATGATAGCCTACATTCTTCCACGTTGGTTATACTGCTCCCCAATATTTGTCCCTGGTCTGAAAGCAAAAACTTCACTTTATTTCCAGATCCCTTAAACTTTTGTCTCGCTACAGGGGAGTTGATAGAGTTGTTGTGGTTCATTTCTTTATTTCCAAGCTTCTTAACGCTTGTGATACATTCACTGACAGGATAACACGTGATCAAGGGCACTGTCTGCACCCAAATATCACAAAAGCCCCGTCGAATCGCCGAACTCGCTCCAACTTTACACTTCTTCTTCGTGCACGTACTTCCATATATAGAAACAGTGTGATTCCATACATTTCTCGGTCATTGATTAATCGTAAGACAATTGTTACCCAACTCAGGGAAAAACTCTAGTACTAATTTTGCTCTCATTTACCATAATATAGAATTTGTTAGATTGTCTTTTTTCGTTGAGTGCAATTTATTTTATATATCCACTGTAAAAATTATAAATTACCGAAAATTAGTCTTTTGAGTGCATAAAGCGTTTCTTGACATAAATTGACTTGATTATAATTATTATTAGCAGTAGTAATATTGGGTTGCCCAAACTATAAAAAAATTTCAATGAAATACATGCCTGCCTAAGAATTTCACATTCGCATGTAGGATGCCCTGAATGATTTCGTCATAATACAAGGTGTTTACGTATACAGAAAACATTTTCCAAAAACCACTCTTACTCACTCTAGTCGCTGATCGACTATTGGCCTTGAAACACAATTCACGTCTGACCGGAGGAAGTGATTCGTTGTATTGAAGCGTCCTCTCCTCCTCGTCGCCTTCGTGTTCAATAGTCTTCGAGCTGAGTTTTTCTTTCACCCGAGATACCATATCTTCCACCCCAGAGGTGATGGTCATCGAATTGCCGTCATCCTCTTGCTTCATTTCCAATAGCCAGTCCTGGTGACGGAATGAAGTAAGACAACAATTGATGTAACTCAAGTGTAAGTTCAATTTGTAAAATCATTAATCATACACTATCGTGCGGCGGTTTTGTTTGCTGTCTTATAGCTCCCCATTTGGATCAAACAATGAAGAAAAGATCAGAATGTTCAAATCAGTTTCACAGTGAAAAAAAGAATTCATGAAGACTAAGGTTGTAACGACATTGAGATGCACTAGCATCACTGTTTACGATACTCAGCCAGATCACTAAGCCTTGGTTACACTGATCACAGTCTAGGCCTTTGTCTGAAATCAGGGTCACGGCAAAACGCCGACTTTTTCCTATCCAATGGAGACTGGGCCTAATTCAGTTCCGATTTAAATCACGACGATTCTCAAAGGAAGGTTAGATCTCTCCTGACATGGACATTCGTATCAATGCTCCAAAGTCGATATCTGACAAGTCCGTAATACAACGTTGGGTCTTTAAACGGGAAAATGAGTTTCATTTTCGGCTTTTACAACCAATAACCTTTCACATTGGTTGTGGTCTTATGACAATCCATTTGGACGAAAGATTAGAGGTAAATTTGGAATGTCAAAAACAGTGTTAGAGTGAACACGGAGGATTCATGAAGACTAAGGTTACAAAGACATTGAGATGCACGAGCGCCACTGGTTTACTGCACCGAGCCATATCACTCAGTGTCTCTGGCCACTGATTACGCCGATCCCGATGTCGGCATCCAAGAAGCCTAACGGAGACTATATGAGCAAATCCTCTGATCAGGTTTTTCATACCCTCATGCCAATAATGTACTATACAGTGTGTGGTGAATAATCCATCAACTACCCGGGACAGAAAGCAACGCCAGTGGATAGCATGAAAAGCTACATGTTTAAAATGGTACTCAAATTTCAGGTTTTTCTTCATTTCAGCATCGTTTACAAATTATGAGGCATATCACGTTATCTGCTGAGAAGACGTTATAGATCCAAATGATTATTCTGGTCCCTACATTCATAGAAATAATTGCTTTTTTGCTACGCGTAAAAGTGATGGAGATGAGACTTGTGCCCTAGTTTTCTCCAGTTCCACGTAGCAGAATAAGTGCATATGAAAGACTGTAAAACTTACCTGAAGACCGGTGATAATATCATCCTTCTCTTCAGCATCCAGTTGGGATATTGTTCCCAGGGGAACGGATTTACGTAACAATCGGCTGTGTGTGTGTGTGTGGGAGGGGAGAAGAACGATTTTAAAATCTCCACTGAGAGAATAATTACTGTACAAGAAGTATGTGAATTTGTGGATGCACAGCCTTTTTACTAGTGTGTTATTTGGGCAAATTTGCTTTTCCAAGAAGAGTTTTCTTGAAACAGCCGGATGTTTCTGCCTCGTTTGTTTATTGGTTGATTAGAACTGATCATCCTTCAAACTGCAACTTCACGCATATTCCTCAGCGTTTCCAGATAACCATACACTTGAAAGAGCTGAGGAATGTACATGAAGATTTCAAATCTGAAGGATGGTCAAATCTATTCAATCAATAATAATTTTCCTACAACCCTACTCACAAATGGCTATGAGTTACATTCGAGTCGTATTTTTTGTGTTTGCTAAGGTAGGTAATGGGTGGACAAAAGGGAGGCGTGGTCAAATTACGGTCTTTTATAACGCCTTATTTCTGTTATTTTGATCAGTAACCATGCATCTTCGTATTGTCGTATTTAAGCTGTCAACTTGGATAAAACGGTAGAAGAAAGTTTGAAATTTTTAGAGTAGAGTCAGAGAGAAAATAGAGAATTCGCAGAGATACCAAGTATATGCACTATCCCTACAGTCTACGACACTCAGTCATATCACTCCGTGTCTCTAATCATCAACTACAATAACCCCCAGATCCCCACCCTGGGAGCCTAATGCGACCTATATGACCGAGTCTCCTCGTTAGGGTTTTCATACCCTCATCCTAGGTCACAGTTTATAGCACTCTTGGCTTTTCTTTCCATTCCCTACCGCCTCGGTAAACACCTTACGCCCTGATAATCTATTTGGTGACATGTGCGTGAAGTTGTGACAAAATTATGTAATTAACGAAAACTTTTATTCAATTTCAAAGGGGCATTTGTCGTGTATATAGCAAATAAGGGGTGAACTGAAAACATAGGAAACACTGGACGACTGTTTAGACCTGGTTGGATCTCATCAGCAGTACGAATCTATCGATCCAGAAATTTACCACGAAAGTTGCTCATATACGGATTCGTGAATTGAGGGAGAGAATAGCGTAACTCAAAGTCAGAACAGCTGAGTGATACGGTTGAGTGTCGTGCACAATGGAGCTCGTGTATCAATTTTTAGTCCTTGCAACTTGGATCTTTATGAATTCACTATTTTTACCGGGACACTGCTTTTAGCATTCTAATCTTCCCTGTATTCTTCAATCCATATAGACATCCAAAACAAAGTCATCGAAGTGGTTGCACAAAATGGCATGAACTGAAACTATGCAATTTAGTAGTTTAAACTACTATGGTCACATATTTTATGACAATACATGCGTTCTTTATTTTGTCACTGTAGTACGTACAACTAAGAAATATTACAACTGTTTTAGTAAACAAAACAGCAAGATAAAACATTAAAAAAAAATAAAACACTGATTTGAATTGTATTGCAAATATAACTTAGGGACAAAAAGTTATGAGTAACTAAAGTTCAATCAAAACGGTTGTGCAGTTCAAGTGTTTATTAGTTTAGAGAATCCTATTACCCAGAATGGAATCTTCAAGGGTTTGGTAAGAGTGGTGCATTGCTGATAAGCACAATTGGACAGCTTCACAAGAGTAAAATGCTGGTTCAGATTGATTAAAACACATTCGGTGATTAAATTCATCATCCCAAACAATTTCACTTTAAAACCAAAAACAATAATAATTTCCAGATGCAGTTCAATATTGACTATATATATGCTATTCAAATGTTCTTTAAGGGATCTTATTTATACATTCTATCAGTATTTCTTGTTTTGTACAAAATCAAGGGAATGTGTGTTTACGGTGATTCAGCATATTTACGTTGAAAATTCAATGCATTTTGAACGTCGCGTATGAGATATTTCAGTTTATTCTAACAGATACCAGACGGATTCTGCTGTGCTTCCAGAGAGTTTTCTATCCACAGTTTAAAGGCACCTCATTTCTGGTAGAAATGTTTGTGATATGACTGGATTACTTCTTTGTGATTTCCTGCACTGGTAAACAATGCCTCCATTTGTGTCCACCTGAGGACTTAAGCTATTGATCGTTGAGTTGTGGAGCGAAATGCTTAGCCCCGAGCCAAATGCTCAACTAATAACACCTCCAATCTGTTGGCTGTTCGATCAGAATGGAATAGTTGTCCAATGCAAGAAGCGCCTAAGGTTTATTCCCTTGCTATTTAAGTTGACTAACGTGTGATAGATATTGCTAAAGTAGTCCCATTGAGAAAAGAGCATACGTGAGCATGTTTCACATATCTCGAAATAATAGAAAGTGCTCTCAACACTGCTCACTTATGCTGATTCGATTCAGTTCCGATTGTACCCAAAGACAGGTCTAGGTGGTTACTTTGTCAGACATTTCAGCACTTTGGGCGAAATTCAGCCCCAAATGATGCTAGGAGTGTATCGCTGTGTTGTTAACATTATAACATTCACAAGAAAATCAGCCCTATTTAAACTGAAAATAAGATACTTTAGTCCAGATCTTTTATCTTCTCAAAAGCTTGCAATTCCTTTTGGAAACTCTCGTCCAAATTCACCGACAGCGCATTAAGAATGCTGCTTGGGGACCTCTTAGAAATCTTTCAGACAATGAACGTTCTACCCGCTATTCCAACAGACGAAAATTTTAAGAGGATTCAGAATCGAGAAGCACCAAATTAACCTGATAAAGTTAGGTTTCGGGCCGTAGTCAACTCTTGTTTCTTCAACAAAATAGTTGTCAATATATGTTGTTGCCTGATTGCGGAGCTAACTGAAAAGTTAACCACCCAGTTAATCAGACTGGGAGGATTGAGACTGGATGTCCCATTTCATATGTAGCAGTTCTGAATACACCTCAGCAAAGAAAACTTATATATTGTGCAAGCAATACCTAAAATCGTTTTCTTTCTATTCAAGTATGATATCCAGCCAACAACTCTATACAATAATGGATGTGTATACCGCCAAAAGAATTATGGACGCTCGATCGGTCGTTGGCACCCATCATTGTGTTTAAAATGAACGGAACGGGGGACAAGCAGATATCAGTAGATGGTGGACCTTAAAATCAAATAAGTTGATTAATGGCGTATTTATAAACTCATATATGGACACAATTGCAAAACATTTGATAGTTTGGTTCATTTCAGTTCTCCTTGGATGGTTTGTGGCCAGTGACAATTAGGCGACCAGATATTTATGTTATCGTCCCGTTCTGGTGGCTTACAACATTTGGATAAGTAGCCTTTAAGTCAGCATTTAAATCGATTCAAAAGGGAAACCGCTCACCTCTGGTAATAATTTTACTCAGCTATTTCGGGGATGTTGATAGTGTTAAATTTGCGTACTTTGAGAAGTAATCGAATTTACAACGTAACCATCTTTTAGTAAAAATAGGTCAGTCTTAGTTCCAATCTTGAGTGGCTTCTCTGCAATCCTACGCTGTATTTTCTCGTACCCAGAGAACGGATTTTCAGGTAAGGTTTATAAACGTGAATCTCCGTACGTACTTCTTCGATTTGTGACTAGGCATTATCCTTTTCTCTAGGAGTTTGAACATTTTTCAGTATTAGCATCCCTCTTCCAGTTCAAACCCTAAACCTTTCTAGAATATTCTACATTTGGACTGCTGATGCTGTTATACCGGATGAATGACCACTTCTGAATTACCGTACGTGATGCTGATGCAGAAATTTAACAGCTGTCCTCCAATTTGGTGTGATGATTATTGATATTCCTTCATTTGTTGCA